TGACACTATCTCTCTGCTCTGGTGCTCACTCTAGCCTCGCCTCCCAAGCACTCAGGGCCCCTTCCATTCTGAAATGACACAGAGGCAGCCTCAGAGGTAGCACAATCTCCCTGGTTTCCCACTCATCAGCCGTGTATGCAAAGTAGATGCAGGGGGTTTTGCATCTATTTAACTGTCCATTAAAATAGCTCCATGCAGGTCACCTCTGCACAGGCCCAGGATTCCAAATTGCCAACCCCTGCTGCCTGCAAGCACCATGTGGTTCCTGTGCCTGGTAATTGCTCTGGTGTTTGTTGAGCTGTATTTGCATTTGATTGTCATTTAACTTCCCATCTATATCCTTCAATCAAATCAGGGTTTGGGCTTCTGCAATTGATTACTCGTCCTATTTTCAGTCCCTTGGTGGTTTTCAAAGAGTTTTCTTTATTAGTGCCACAAACTTGAACCCTGGGACTTTTCTCCCTTGACAGAGGGGGAAGGCCTCCTCCCACCCATTCCAAGGCTCCTACATGAAAATAATCTCACCAAAGTCATGGATCTCAAGTCCTATTCCCAGTCTGCCTGCTCCAGCACCTGCTTCTTTCTGCCCAGCCGGTGGCATTAAACATTTATGGAGCTGTGGAGGATCAAAGGCCTCGGCTGGGGGTTGTGGGCAGGCTGGTGGCCTCAGTTTGAGATGGAAAGTAGCTCACATCAAACCACTTTCTGCTGCTGTTTCCATCTACCCTGAGGTCTTGCTACAGCTAATCTGGTCCTGCTCTTAGAGTCGGAGGAAATGCTTAGAAGCTAGGACTCTGTTTACCGGTCTCCTGTGCCTAAATTCAAAGGACAGATTCTGGGTAACCCAAGAAGCTAGGCCTGGCATCCTGGGCTGTTCCAGTGCTGCAAGATCAGTAGCCCGCTCCAAGAAGTATGTTGAGGTGAGCAGGCAGCTCTGTGCCCCTGCAGTCTCTAAAGTGAAGTTACAGCCCTAGACTCTGCTTCCTAGAAACCCCCAAACCCCTTTTACTCCACAGAAGATACAGCTCTTGCCAAGTGTGGTGCTGTGTGTTTGTAATCCCAACACTCTGGGAATCTGAGGTAGGAGGATTGCAAGTTCAAGCCCAGCCTAGGCAATTTTGGGACTTAGCCAGAGCTTACCTCAAAGTTAAAAAAATATAAAAAGGACTGTGGATGTAGTTCAGTCCGAAGACCCTGGGTTCAGTTCTTACTACCAAAGGAAAAAAGGGTGGCTGGGGATGTATTCAATCCCTAGTACCATCAAAAATAAAAAGATACAATTCTTGTTTACAACCTCTCTCCTTTTCTGTCTCAGAAAGCAAGTGCCAACTTTTCAGAGACTTCAAAATAAGCCATCAATGTGCTGTGATCTATAAAGTAAAGGGCTGTTTGGAAGTAGCCTGGTGAGGTTGCTTCTGCAGGGATGTGGGCTGGAGGTCTGACATAGTCTATCCAGGGACTGCCAGGGGTACTGGGATTAAAGTACTCCTTCTTTCCTCCCTCTAGCTGTCAATCCTAATCCAGCTACAGCAGCCATAGTAGCCCACTGTCTGAGTCAGCAGCGATCTCCCCAGTTCTTACCACTTGCCCTCATGCTTGAAAACTCACCTTACTGATGCTTGTTTCAGTGCAAATATCTTCATGATAAGGTAACCCTTTCAGTGTAACCACTAAGGATGTCCTGCAGCTCCGATAACCACAGCCTGTCACAGCTTGGCCGCAGCCTACTCCAGCCTTTCCTTCTACTTCCCTACAGGAACTTTCTGCTCTGCCAGAACCAGTCTTCTCACTGACCCCAACTATCCTGCCCGTGCCACAACTGCACCTCTGCATAAGCCATGCCCTCCCCAGGTCCTCCCTCTCCACTGACAAAATCATAAAGCATATTTAGCTTAGTCTCACTTATCTACTGTGTGAAGCTTCACTGACCTGAAGCGAATACCCACTTCTCCATTATCTCACAACTCTCACAGTGACCTGCCTAGGGTTTTAGATAGTCCTTATACCCATTACTTCGTCACAGATATTTACCGAGCATCTACTATGTGCTAGCCACTGGGCTAGGTTGGGAGTAGATGAGACCAACTTAGTTCATTCCTTCACAGAATCTACAAGTAGCAGAGAAGAGAAGAGAGACAATGTAGGAATTACATAGACAGGGGAAGCCCAGGGTCCTCTAGGGACAAACAGTCAGGAGGAAGACACAGAGAGAATGGGAGAAATGAGACCAGTATGACAGGAGCCTTTCAGGTTCCCCCAGGTGCCACTTTCAAATGTGATGTGTATATGAATTTAGTATACGATAAGCCTGTAAGCCCTATATATAGCCATATATATATATATAGACCATATATATATTCTAAGAAGAATGGACCCCTTGGAGGGTATGGGAAATGGTGCTTGACAAAAATTCTACTGCTTCCTGAGTTGGCCCAGCCTCTGCCTCAATCTAACTGGGAGCCCATCCCATAGAAGCCATGTTGAGCATCTTTAAGGAGGGACAGCCCAGGGGCATAGTTATTCCTACCATGCATTCTTTGAGCTCAGGGCAGAATGCCGCATTCGTATTCTGGGGCTCGTAGTCTCCAGTGGACCCCCTCCTGAATCCCTAGGTGAGTTCAAGCAGCAGGGAAGGTGATGGGGAAAGTTCTACATGGCTCCTCTCACTCTCCTTCTTCCAGACAGTGCCCTGCCCATCAAGAGCCCAGCTGTAGGAGTGTCAAATGACCCTGTCACCTACCTCCAAATTGTCATGAATCATCCCGGCATACAACATTCATGTTCATTGTCTCTGGGTCACAGTCACCCCCCTGCCCAAGTTGCCTAGTCCTGAGCACCCAGAGATGTGGGAGGAGCTCAGAAAAACCTTCAAGAAGGATAGGAGGAATCTTGTGACATTTGCTTGTATTTCATTTCTGTGGGCAACTGTGGTTTTCCCTCCCCTCTGTACCTTCTTTCCTGGCTTTCTCTCCCTGCCTCTGGTCCTTCCATCAACATCTCCCCCTTCTCCCCATCCTTCTGCCACTGCTCTTTTTCCTCAGCTTCTCAAAACGACTGTCCAAAAACCCTTTCCCAGCATGGCCCTCGGCTAATTCCACACGCCACCTGCCTGCTGCTTGGGAATCTTACAGCAGTCAAGGCAGCTCCCTAGAGCATACAGAGGATCTGGGAAGAATTTCTGAAGCAGAGCTGGAAGGCTGTGAGGACCATAAGGTCCAAAAGACTCCCTGAGGGTTAAGACTTAAGAGCAGAAGTTTTGCCATCAGCTTCTAGGATGAGTCTGGGAAAAGCAATGGGCAGTGGCTGTGGTCTGGGCCAAAATTAAGCTCAGAGCTACCCTCCTCTCAGAGCCAAGTTCAGCCTTCGTCTTCCTTTACAGGGAATAATAACATCAGCCACAAGGTCATGTCCTGTGGTGTCCACTGAAGCTCTACACATGAACCCAACCATGGACCTCTGGGTTTAAACAGGAGCCTCAAGGATAGTACAACTGTGACTGGTCCCCTTACTGTCCTGAGTGACCCACTGGGGCTCCTTAACCCAAGCAAAGCCCTGAAAGCTTACTTTTTCCATGTCATCAAACGGTACAGCTTTTTTGGCTACTCCCTTGGGCCTCCTTCAAGTCTCCATCAATAGCAGTTCTAATGGACTGGGGTTGCAGCTTAGCAGTAGAGCACTTGCCTACCATGTGTGAAGCCCTTGGGTTCAATCCTCAAGAATAAGAATTAGAGGGCCGGGGATTTAGCCCAGTGGTTCCATTGCCTGCCTCGCAAGCTCAAGGACCCGAGTTCGATCCCCAGCACCAAAAAAAAAAAAAAAGAAAAAAAAATAAGAATTAGAATTAGAATAAGAATAAGAGTGCCAGGCATGGTGGTGCACACCTGCAATCCCAGCATTCTCAGAGGCTGAGGCAGGAGGATTAAAAATTCAAGCCCAACCTGGGGAACTTAGTGACTTAGTGAGAACTTGTCTCAAAATTAAAAATTAAAAAAGGGGGCTGAGGATTTAGCTCAGTGGTGCCAATGCCTGCCTCACAAGAGCAAAGTCCTGAGTTCAATCCCTGGTACCAAAAATAAAGAAAGAAAGAAAAAAATTTGAAAAGGTCTGGGGATGGAACTCAGTGTGGAGGCCTTGAGTTCAGTTCCCAGTATTGCATCACAAAAAATAAAAATAAGTACATTTTAAAAAAATTCCTAGAGCCCCTCCCCTTGTTCCATTTTGTCTACCACCTCCAGGAGCCTGAGCAGTATTGGCATGATGGATCTGGACTGAAGGCTCTGGCTGTCACTGTGCTGCTCTGGTCCCACAGAGGTGAAAAGGCAGGATCCTGGACATCCAGTGCTGCCTGGGGACCTAGGATACTACCTTCAGTTCCCCACACCTTGGCCCAGGTTACCTCCTGCCAAGTGGAGAATGTCTCCCCAGGACACAAGTGCCACTGGCTTTTAACTCTAATATCAGGATAATTAAGCTTTTCTGTGAGCACAGTTTGCTGCTGATGCAGCTGCCTGGAGCCCTGGCATTTATTGAGCACAAAGTAATAATTTATTGTCCTTTGTACGCTCAAAAGCCATCTTCATTATCGGCCCAGGACCGAGCTGCCACAAGGGCACGCAAGACTCATCAGCTGCCTCACTCAGAGATGTCTTCCCAGTTCACACTTGGCACCCTCAGGTACCAGGATGGGGTGGAGAGAGGTGGGGAGAGGGTTGCTCTCTCACATAGAGTCAGGTTAAAACCTAACACCTTAGCGGGCTGCTCATGGTGGAGAGGGTGGCAGGCTTGGCTGGGCATGGGCAACGCGGAAGGGCGGCGGCCGTGCGCCCACACGCTAGGGCAATCCTTCCCCTGAGCAGGCGGTGGCGCGGGCGCCTGTGCTCCTGCGGCTGGGGGGGGGGGGGGTGCCTGCGCCTTTGCTCGAGACTTTACGGTAAGCCGCTCCTCCCGCGCCCCCGCCCCCAGCCCCGCGCGGCGAGCCCGGGCGCCGACGCCAGGCGCTGGCCGTGGTGCTGATTCTGTCAGGCGCTGGCGGCGGCGGCGGCGGCGGCGGCCCCGCTCCGGCTCCCTGGCCAGACCAGGAAGGCTCCAAGCCTCGCGGAGCCCCTCGCCCTCCCGCCGCGGCCCCGGCTTGGGGCGCGGCTGCAACCAGCACCCAGCACCATGCGCCCAGCAGCCCTGCTGCTCCTGCCCTCGCTGCTGGCGCTCGTGGTTCACGGTAAGGGACCCCGGCGTCCGGCACAGGACGGCAGCGGGTCGAGGTCCCGCGGGTAGGAAGGGAGGACCGACCTAGCGCTCAGCTGCGCGCGTCCGGTTGCCCAGCCCAAGCTCCGAGTCCCTCTGGCTGCTCTGCCCTCGGCGCCAGCCGAGCCGGGCGGGGCGCAGGCTCCGCGGGCGGGAAGCTGCCGCGGCTCCCGCCATTCGCGCCTGGCGGAGACCTCGCCTTTAATCATCTCCCCGGATCTAATGGGATTTCTCTGCTGCAATTCATCACGCCACCCCTCCCCACACACACGCGCTCACCCCGCGCTACCTCGCCACACTCTGGGAGTCTGGGGCGCCGGGGCGCGGGTCGGGGGCTGCGGGGCGGTGAGCCCGGACAGTCTGGCTGGCGGCCCGCGATCCCGCCTACGCTGCTGCCAGCCAAACTTCGCACGACTTTGCCGCCGGTTCCAGGGCCTCTCGCATCCTTACTGCGGTGGAACCTGGCCGGATGTCGGCCGGACCTGGGGTTAGGACGTCGCTCACCTCCCTCCGCCTTGGCACTGGCACGCAAGAATCAGAACCTAGAGCATAATTTTAGGGAGACACTCGAGGACCCCGGGGCCAAGTATCTGGCTCCTCTGCCTGGCCCGGGCTGCAGTAGAAGAGGTCCCGGGATAGTCTGTCCTCCCCAAAGTCCTTCACACACACACACACACACACACACACACACGCACACACACACATCCCGAAAACCCCCAGAGCTCTATCCCCCGCCCCTGGCCTGCCTTCCTAACCCTTCCACCCGTCGAGAGGACTGATTCCCTATCCCTCGGCCCCAGCCCCCCTCGGGGAGTCACATCCTCAACTCCACTGGACTTGGGTCAGGGGAAGCTTGGCCCTGGAGTAGGCAGAAAGGGAGTTTGGGGAAAGGATAAGGGTTCTGTGCTGTCTTGTCTGGACCTGCCGTCCCGGTTCAGACAAGCTGTTTTTCGAAGCTGATTGCTCAGGTCTTTCTCCCGCTTCTACTGGTCGGCTAGTGGGGTAGAAACCGAGCTCGGAGTTGCAAACCGCGGACCCTCGCCATATGATTCGTAGCGCCTGCTGTGGAGGAAGGAAGAGGGGGAATTTCTAACCTCTGCGCTGAATCTTTCCCTCCGAGTCTGCGGTCAGGGCAGCGCTGGGCCCCTGCACGGCAGATTTTTTGGCTTTACCGCCCCAAGGGCGTGGAAGCTGCTCTCTGAGCTTTTAGCTCTACTCAAGCGCGGTCCAGTGTCCTCTCCCAGCCACCTGCCCACACCGGGTCCTCGAGTGGCATGGGTAACTTGGAACCGTGTGTTCATATTGAGAGGAGGAAAAAGAATCCCTAAACCCTCACCCCAGGCATGGAATGGGCAAGGAGAAGCCCATAGGCGGGGTAGCAGTCCAGTACGCCCCTCTGAATTCAGGATCTGTGTCGGAGTCCTGCCACATCCTTGCTCTGGACAGCTCCCCTGAGGCACAGGGCCGTTGTCTATTCCCTGGATGCATTCTGGGGCCACACTGTGCCAGTGTATGCGTCTTGGTGTGAGTGTAATTGGCACCTTGTGTGTCTGGAGTAGCAAGTCCCAGGTTGTCTGTGCTTGGGAAGGTCTGAATAATGGGTGAGAACTCAGCAGTGGGCCCATGTGAGGCCACTAGAACGAGGTTGGAGGTTGCAGCCTCCGCCAGAGGACTCCTTGGGGGCTGGACTGAGACTTCAGGTCTCCAGGAGGAGGGCTGATATGGCTGGGAGTTCCCGGAGCCCCTCTGAGTTTGTGGAGGGTGGATGTTGGGGGGAATTTGCCCACTCTGTGGCTGGAAGTCTGTGTGTCCCCTGCCAGTGTCCTTCTCTGATCCAGTAGGGTCTTCAGTGCTCCTTTGGGGGGCAGGGGTCTGATTGTTGAGGAAGACTTTTATTTTCACTCCTCAAGGGAGGGGAGAAAGAAGCTTGGCAGTGCCAAGCATGGCAGGTGAAGGCATGGACACCGGAGCTGGGTGGCTCCATTAGCTATGATTCTGGTTGTTGAGGGTACTGAGTCCTCTCATAGGGAGACAGTGCATTTGGCCATCTCAGAGTCCCTGGAGATTTCAGTGAAGGAGAGCCCTGAGGAGCAAAGGCCTAGGGCTGTGAGGCTTCGAAGCTAGGGCAATGCATCCCCCAGCTTAGTAGTCTGGAAGCCCTCAGAGCTTTGCTCACATTTGAGACTCTTGCAGCCAGGCGCAGCCCAGCATCAGCAGGAGTCCTGGGAGCCAGAGGCCCCAGAGGCTTTGGATATAGGGTGAGGATGGGCCCACCTCACAAACCCAGTTCCCTATTCCCTTCTGCACCCTCTGTGAAGAATTGGCCCAGACCTAAGGGGCACTGTGGACCACAGGGTATCCTCCCAACTCATGGGCAATCTGGGGGAGATCTTGCCATAGTGAGGGAAGAAGGCAGTGAAGGGGAGGCTGAGCCTGCCCAGGCCTGCTGTGTCAGTTTAATGATTTTTAATGAGCAATTACCTTCAGTCATTCTCCTAATTTCTGAATATCAATAAAGTTAATTAAACTCTGCATGTGTGAATGTGGCCTGGGGAGACTGTGAAGGTGGAAGCAGTGAAACCAGTGAGATGGGGTCTCTAGGGTTGGAGGCTGCCTCTATGCTGTGTGACCTTGCACCCACTCTACCACCTCTCTGAGCTCACTTGAGAGTGTGATGGGAAAAGGGGGGGTGGGGACTATGAGTCTTAGTGTTTACTCTGGCAGGAACTAGAAGATGGCTTACAGGAGGTAAGGCATGGAGGAGGAAGGAGAGAAAGGGAAGGAGAATTTGGCATCCAGGATCCCCACTGCTGCAAGGGTTAACAAACCAAGGCTGTCTTTACCTAAAATGGTAATTGCTACTTGCTTCCCACAGACTCTTCTATTTGTGCTGGATTCTGACAGCTTTTTCTTGAGTCTGGGGGCTGCTACAGAAGGAGCAGACCCTCTGTCCTACTCCCTGTTCCCTATCCTACAGTTTAGGGCCAGGAACTGGTACTGGGGACAAGGAGATAATTTGGATTCCACTCAAACCCTCAAAGGTTGATGTGGTGGGCCAAAGGTCCCCCTGGGCTTCCGAGGAGACCAAAGGACCCAGAGACTGCTGCAGAGAGGAGGGGGAAGCCTGATTTGGCTTCTTGCCCCTCACAGCCTAAGCACATCAAGTTTGGCAGGTCCTGGCGGCCATCCCGGCCTCCTCAGTAGGTTGGCAGCTTAAAATGCCTTGGGGATTCTGTGGGGTGCTAATGGGGAGCAAGGAGACACAGGGGCTGGGCTTAATTAGAAATTAAGCTTCTGTGCCCCCCACCACTATGACTGCCTGAAAAGGGAGGCATATCAGAAAGCCTGCTTCCTTCACTCCTCTCTTCATCCAGTCCCAGATTCTGCAGCCTCCTCCTGCCCTTCTAGTCCCTACCTCTCCCACCCACCCACTTCCACCCCACCCCCATCAAGCTCATCTGCCAGGTTGGGCTCAGCTCTAGAATCCTGCGCCCCCACCTGTGCAGAGCTGTCAGGGCTCAATGCTCTATTCAACCCCCAAACAAGAAAGAGATCACCAAAAAGGGACCTATAGGCAGGGGTAACTTTAGTAGGGAACTTTTGAATCCACATGGTTAAGAACCCAGCCTGCCATGTGGCCTCAGGCATGCCCCTGGCTTCTCTGGGTCTTCACTCTTTGGAGCCTTCAGTGTAAAAATGTTATACCAAGTTCATGGTTGCCAAACCTAGGAGCATATCTGGGCCTTAATCCATGCAGATTTCAGCTTGTCAAGCCATGCAGATTCCTGGGTTCCCAGGTTACTGGCCTATTCTCATGGATGGGAAGCCAGCTTTTATAAGTAAATAAATAAATAAACAAAAAAAACCTGGAGGAGGTAATGGTGCCAGCCCTGATGCGCAGATACTAGGAGATCTCCAAGGCCAGTCTCAACAGGAAGCAACAACTCCAGGAAGACAACTAATCCAGCCAGGCCAATGGACTTTCAGCATCAATTCCCCAAACTAGCCAAGTTCTTAATAGCTCCTGAGATCTTGCCATTCCTTCTCCTGATGTTATTGCCCTTCCAGGGCCAATCGGGCTCACTCTACCTCAAATATCAGCTTAGCTGGCACATCAGTAATTTTTCAGTACATATTTATGGGGCATCTACTCTATGGTTTCTTGTTTTGTTTTGTTTTGTTTGGTACTGGGGATTGAACTTGGGACCTTGTGCTTACGAGGCAGGTGATGGCACCACTGAGCTAAATCCCCAGCCCTACTCAATGGTTTCTCAGAGAAACCTGTCCTCCAGCCTAGATCAGAAGACTCTTTCATGCTCGCACTGTCCCTCACTTCACCCATCAAGGTATACATCTTGTTAGGGCACAAGTGCCTGGTTGCTTAATATTTCTCCCAGCAGTAAAACTGAACTCAGAAAAGAGGACATCAAGCCTGTTTTGCTCCCCTATATATCTTGGGGCAGCTGAGAATGCCTATTCAGGAGAAGCTTGGGGTCAGGCCTGGTTAGTATGGAGAGGTGCACCCATGGCAGCTGGAACCTCATCTTGAAGCTGAGTTTGCACAGCAAGCACACTATTTTTACATAGATTGTATGTTAGGATTTTTTCCCCTTTCCTAACAGTTGGCCAATTATCCCAACTGTAAATTATAGCCTTTACTTAGTTTTTTCCTTCTACAAATTAAGCTGTCATGCCATCAGCCTGAAGTAGGTTGGGGGTGGCATGCTGATGGTCATTCTTCAAGGGGTAAAGGCTCTTCCCAGTCAACCCTTAGTGTTACCACTGTTTGTGTCCCCAGTGGCACAGAGCCTAGCACACAGCAGACATTAAACTTGTGTTGATAAATTCATGCAAATTGCACAGGTAGACATCAGTGGAGATAAGCCCAGCACCCAGCCTTCCTGACTCTTTCCCATAGCACCTACCCACCCAGCCCTGTGCTGTATGAGAGGGAACTTCAGGACTCAGGTAAGG